GACGGTCACCTCTGACACTCTGGACTTCATTGTGTTGTGCTTACCAACGGTTTGCTCTCAGGATGCAGTATTTAAGGACGTTATATAAAGCTCAGTCGCTCTCTAATGCAGTCGTATCAAATGCACATGTTTCATTTATGAACTCGGGACCAAACGTTTGGGTCGTGCTCATGTGATATTGCCCTTTTTAAAACCTGAGTGATTCAGACATGCATTATACTAAACAAATATTCAATTTCTCTTTTGTGTTTAGTCACAAACAAATACCCACAATGCATACAGTTTTGTTTAAAGGTGCATTCGGTAGTTTGGTGCTCATTAAAAAAAAGATGTGGTCACATTAACAAAACATAAGCGTAAATTTGTGGGCAAAGAAGGTTTGTTATCCATTATCAATAGTGTAGCGATGCATGAAGCACTGCTTAATCAGAGGTCAGTTCCAAACTAAGCAACTTTTTATTGGCAAATGTGGTGAATTTGCAACAATGCAAACTTGAATCTGATGCGAAATCCACATCAAGGTTCCGTCACATTTGCCTAGGTTAAGCGAATTTTCGTCATTTCAATAGGAATCCATTCACCTGATCAACTACCAGCGGACAAACAAGCTGCTGATTTACGTAACAAACTTTAATATGATGCGAAATTTGGGAAATGTGTCATTAGTGCGAATAAAATCATTGCATAATGCTCTTTCTGATACAACCGGATGTGTCAAACTCGATTGTCAATAAGCTCTTCGCTGATTGGCTTGCGAATTTTGAGGCGTATTGAAGACGTTATAGAAGCCCCGTTCACACCGCCAGCGACTTTTTCGCTGCTTGTCGCTTGTGGCTGGCAATTGAGGTCGCTAGTGGGCGTTCCCACTACTGGTTGCCTAGTTACCCCGTAACACTCCACTACAGCAGATGAATCACGTGCTCGCCACTGACTTCACTCCCATTGGTTGTCGCTCATGAAATTCGCTGCTTATTTGCATAAAGTTGAAGAATTCTGAACTTTTGTCGCTTGACTCGCATCGCTTGACACGCCCACATTCCGTCGCCAACGGTCACTGTCGCTTGTGCTGCCGGAAGTCGCCAGCTCTCCATTGAAAATTAATGAGATTATGTCGCTGTGTGTCGCTGGCGGTGTGAGGCGTATATCGCACGTTTCGTGGCAATCGCGTCGCCCGTGCAAATTTGCGTCTTTTGGTGTCTTTGCATTGACTTTGTATGTAATCTACTCGTGCAGATAATTAAGTTCGCTTCTGGTGTGCACACACCATTACTTGAATAAAAACATAAAAATGCTCTCCTCCATTTTCTGATACAACCGACAACGCGTCATGCGAATTTCCCACTTTAGTTGAAAATTTAAATTTTTCAACTTGCGCGGAAGACACGATTGAGACAAATATCGTGTTCGCCGCAATCGCTTCACTCATTTCACATCATTCGTGTCGCCCTGCGCAAATCTGCATCTATTCGCTATTGACAATAGTCAATTTTCCCTCCAAAATTTTTATGCTAATGCATCCCTTGCTAACTTTCTTGCGTCCCTCACAAAATGCAGATGGAGGTGACTGTATTTCGCTGTAGCCTACAATATGAATGCACCCTAAAAAGTAAATCCTCACAATCCTGTAGATACGCTAGTAGCGAAGTGTAGTCTGGTGATGTGAAAGACGAAAATTAGACAATGAAACTTGTTGCGCTTTATCAGTGAAGATAACAGGAGAATCTGTACGACCGAAAAAAACTAACGAGCGCAAACATCGCTATGGCATACATAAGATTTGATGATGAGAAAAAGCGTTTAACGCCATGTGGCTTTGGTACTTAAAGTACACAAAAAAGAGCAATGCTAACGCTAGCTAACTACTGAATGCAGCTTTAAAGTCCTCATATGTATTATTTTGCTGTTTATCTGGGCACAAAAGTCAACCACAAACTTCTTTTTATACATTTCAATAAATAGTTCGTAATGTCAAACCATCTTATTTCAACCTAAAAGCTGCTTTCTGGAGAAATGTCATCAAATGAAACCTGCCTCTATAAATGTTCAAATATTCTGGTTATATAAAAAGAAGAGTCTGGCTCACTACAGTGTATAAAGAACCACATTTTCTTTGTCTTCACCCACTATCCAAAAAGAAGATTCCAGTGCCTTAAAAGTTTTTATTTTTTACTTCAAAAATCCTTCCACTTACTTAGGGTTTATACATCCTTTCGGCATCCTAGTTTCTGATATTAAGCTCTTGCATACAGTATGCCAGCAGCTGAATTTGGAATAACAGCAATATTAGAATATGGCAGAAATAGAAAGAATAGCCAGGGTTTATCTAGTTAGCTTACTTCAATTAGAATCAGATAGCAGATGCTGTAGCTACACCATTTGGGTCCAAAAATCATCTTTATCCACTGACAAGCATTTAAAAGTATCCATGGGTTTTTGCAAACACATAAATCACAGATATTTCAAAACACATACTTACAGGGCTCTTGCTCCAGCCTAGCAACTGACATTGAGATAAATGTGAATGCTAGCGGCTAGCTTTCTCCAGGTATTCTAGACCTCATTGCCACCACGAAAACCACTTTTCTTTCTCAGGATGTTGTTTCTCTATGCTCTGTTACTCTGATCTAAAAGCATTCTCAATAAAACTAAACAGGAAGGGAAAAGTAAAAGGAAATGTTTGGTTTATTTTTAAAGAAACAGTACTCCCAAAATGCAAATGTTGCCATTATTGTCCATACGACCTGCAATGTTGGTCATGAGTCATATGGATTACTTTTATGATGTTTTGTTATTTTTGAGAGCTTAACATTGTACACTACCATTCAAATGTTTGTGGTGAGGTTTGATGTTTTTGAAAGAAGTCTCTTATGCTCACCAAGGATGCATTTATTTGATCAAAAATAATCCTGATATGCTGATTTGCTGCTTAAGAAATATTTTTTACTATTATCAATGATGAAAACAGTTGTGCTATCTAATATTTTTGTGGAAACTGTGATACGTCTTTCAGGATCCTTTGATAAATAGAAAATTCAAAAGAGTGGCATTTATTTGAAACAAAAGCCTTTTGTAACATTACAGATTACTTTTCTGTACCGTCCTCTAGGGCTGTCAAACTGGCTGAAAAACTAAAGTCGAATATTATATGAATTTAAAATGCATAATTTCAGTTAGGGTGAAGAAAAGCTTTTGGCTTCTCTCCTGAGGCCACAAGAGGGCGCATCGAGCAAAATATTACTGCACATTTATTCAAAGCATCAGGTAGCATGACTATCTGTGAAAAAAGTGCATAATGTTTAAATTAATCTTTATAAACCAATTATAATTAAGTTGCTTAAACAACTATAAACAAAACAGCGTCATGTATGTATGCATAGTTTAATACAAAGGGCCGAACACCAATCACACAAGAGTAAATTTTTCATTTAAAAACACGAGTTGCAGTGGGATGGGGGAAAAAAACCCATAAAGTCTCGAGATATGTTTTTTCAAAGTTGAACTAGCATTAATTTTACATGGCTTTCTAAACATGCGGCTCTTTTGTGCGAGACGTGAGTGCAACAGTGATAGATGTCCCTCTAGAAAATGCGCAAAAAAATGCGTTCTGTGTGAACGGCTTGCTTTCAGTTTTAATGTAAACAAGATCTGCTCCGCATTGATGTTCTCTTTTCCCGCAATATTTGTAATTAACAAATCTAGTGGCTTCAACTGGACAGGCTAACAAAAACATTAAAATGGAATGACACTTACATCGTCATCGCATCTCGTTTTTGCATTCGAATGTTGACTTTTATTTTAAATTCGACAAATATTAGAAATTCGGGAAAAAAAAAATTTGACATCCCTACCGTCCACCTTCATTGTATGAAAAAGAGCAGCTTGGACATTCTGCCAAGCATCTCCTTGTTTTTTTTTAACAAAAGAAAAAATAATACAGGTTCATAACAAATTTGAATTTTACATGAAATATTACTCTGATTTCAAAAGGAAAAGAAACCTGTACTAACAGACGTGTTCAGCTGTTTGTGGTGAGATTATGTGGATGTGCCAGACCTGAATACCAGCTGAGTTTGAAATAGATTACCTGTGGTGTGTTACGCATCTTTATAACACCACGGAAATTCATCATAACGTACTTTTTACCACAAAGTAAATTTTGACATGCAGTACTGTGAGAGGCCTGCAAAGAAAGTGTCAACCGCAGAGTTACAAAGAAAGGCACATCAGCAGCATTTCTCCGTTTATTGAAATGTGGTACAAAAGTATCTGTGTTGTCCCTCATAAATCATCACATACAGGAAATATAATCATCTCTGTCACGTTCCAAAACTATATCTTCTCATTCAGTTGCAGTGCCTCTTGTTGGCGGTGCACAGTGGTGATACACTTCAGTTCAAGGGTACGTATAGCAGTCACTTGAACTCTTTGTTTTGCTGTCAGTTGCAAAGCACTAATTTTGACCTTTCTGTGTCATACGGAGGATTTGAAGCAAAAGCGCCTGAACTTCTTCATCCATCCGGCCCTGTTAAGTCATAAACAGTCACATAGGTATGTGTAACATAAGACGTTCCTGTAGATGTAAGGTTGGGTTGTGTCTCACCTGTACAGAAGCTAGTAGATGAGAACGATATATTGAAACGACAGTCTTGTGTTTGCGCTCCCAGTCCTGAGCACAAGATGAAAGGAAAGACTTTAGATGTGTGTTATTCATTTAAACGCGCACACTTTTAAATATAAAGGTTCTTTATTGGCAATCCATGGAATCTTTCCATTCTGCATAAGGTTCTCTATAGTGGAAAAAGGTTCTTGAGATTATTAAAATGTTCTTCACACTTTGCAGAACTTAACTCCAACTTGCCCCAACACACTCCTTAATTAGGGTTGGAGCTAAACTCAGGACACTGCAGGACAGTGGCCCTCCAGGACCAGGAATTTTTCTATGCATAGAGAAAAAAGCATTTCTGCAGTATTAGCATTTATTCTATTCCAAATGCGTGTTTTTACTTCAGTGAATCAATTCTTACAGATGAGTGCTTTGTGAATCATTTTGAATGAGTCGTTAAAAGGATTCATTCGCAAATTGGACAATGCTACATTTTAGCATCTTATGTAACTTACCTTGACTTTATCATGTTCTTCCTTGCTAACTGAGTCTTTTTGCACAGCCTGCAGCTCGGATTCCAGTCTGGCGAGCTCAGTTTGAGCTTGCTCACGCAGTGCCCGCTCTGCTTGCAGCTCTTTTTCTGTTTGCGCTAACTGCTGGGCTATTATCACAAATGCAGACATGGTTTTATGTTTACGCGGTGCCATGCAACGCAACGTGTAAAAAGACAGTATAAGTCATTATCATCAGTAATTATGTCCCCACTGGATGCAACAAATGCCTCGTTTATAATGGGTTTTAATGTTTTTGTCTCGTCGCGCCGGGACAAGGCATCACAGTATGGTAAGGGGCGTAACATTTCCATCACACGCTTGAGGTATTCGGCGAATCACAACGCACTAGATAGCTGGCCAATCACAGCACACCTTGCTTTTCAGAAAGATGAGCTTTGTAAAAATCGACGCGTTTCAGAAAGGCGGGGCATAGAGAAGAAACAATAATGTACAGTATGTGGAAAATGTGTTTTTTGAACCTTAAACCGCATAAACACATTTCATTACACCAAATACACAAAATAATGTTATTTTTAGCAACATCATATGACCCCTTTAAAGGCAGGAATCAAATGGCTATTTCGGAGAGTCTCAGAGGGACAACAGGTGCACTCACCAGATGCAATGGAAACCTCAGAGCTCTCGGAAGGGTCCTCGTCGTCTTCATCTTCACCAATGTGGGATGGAGGGCGGAGCCTTTCCAGTTCCAGTAAGGCCTGGTTGAGTCGGGTAGCCACTTCGGCTCGTTCTTGAGCTAGTTGGTTAAGCTGAAGACCCAAAGTGACCTGAACCTGCTCAAACTGACCTCGAGGGACACTCTCCTTCAACGCCCGCTCAAGTTCTTCCACCTGTGCCTGCAACCCGTTCACCGGCGCTCCCTCGCCCTCCTCGTGCCCTGCCGTCTTGCTTTGCTCCAGGGCTTTTTCCAGCTCTTCCACCCGTTCTTTAAGACTCACAACTGTCTCGTTCTCCTCCTCTCCCTCTTTCCCTTTCTCTCTATCCTGCAGAGCTGCCTCAAGTTCCGTCACCCTCTGTTTCAGCTGTTGTATGGTGTCATTGTCACCTTCACTAAGCCCCTCCCCATCTGTCTTTTTGCTAGCTAGCTCCACCTCCAGCTCCTGCTGGTTCTCCAGATTTGCCCCTTTCTCAGGGGACTCGGAGCCCCCTTCATGTTTCGCTCCTGCTTCCTCCACTGAATAGACCCCCAGACGCATCTGTTCTTTGATTTCCTCTAACTCGGCCTGGGCTTGGGCCAGCTGTTCCTCCAGAGCTTTTTGATCTTTCTCCTCTTTCTCCACAGATCTAAGGAAAGCAACCGTTAGGAAAGCAAACGTTTTAGTTACTTGACAGGATTCATATGTGCATGAGTGACTGATATTAGTTTAGATTAGGTAAGTTCCAGTTTCAACTCCAACAACTTCCTTGTCAATAGCGGTAAGAATCACCAGAGGCTAATAATATCACAATACTTAAGCATGAAATGATATTAGTGTGTAATTTTTTTTTCAACTGCAGAACGTCAAGCAGACCAACTGACCAACACTGTCATAAAAAACTGTCAATTATGTTGCATGCACCAGTATTGGTATAAAATATTTTTATTTTATTACTCAGAACCAAAATATTTTCATATTTGCAATTTATAATAAAATATTGATACTTGGAGCTTATATTGACACATTGTTGCCAAGCAAAATAATGTGATACTATAATGTATTGATTTATTTCCCCTACCTGGTAATGGTTACGTTTCCTAATTTTCATTTACATAGGTTTATTTTTTAGGTAAGTGCCAGTTCCAACATCTACCAACAACATTTTCTATCAATTGTGAAATATTTTTTGTTATTTTTGAGGAATGACAGTGTAAAATTAGGATTTACATTCAGCAATTTTGCAATATAGCTAAATTCTGCAATATCAAGCAGCATAATGGACTGTTTTTGAAAAGGTAAAATAACTAGAAGCGAACGTCGCACAGTCAAGTTACAAATGGCCGTGCCCACTCTTACGTTTAAAATAAGGTCGATAACATCCAATGAAGAAACAAGTAACATGTTAACATTGACAATAAGCAAAAACAAAACAAAAAATACACCAAATGAATAGATATAGATGACATATATAGTATGTGCTGTCTGAATAATATCAAGAAAAAGATTGATAAAATATTAGTCTGATCTCATTTTAACCATATTACCCATGATCCTCTGCGATGCTTGAGGCTTCAGTTGAAGCCTGGGCTCTTGAGTATTTCTCCTGTAGTTCCTCAAACTCTCTCCTTAAAGATTCATACTGAGCTGTGGGAACAAAATCTGGGCCCGAGCTCTGCATATCCGTGTCATCCTTCTCAAACATTTCCAGCATCTGCAGACCACAACACAATAGAGCTAAAAATATTGCAATAACTAAGGTATTTATTGGTTTTCTTTTTTAAAGACAGCACATGTAGTTGCCATATGTTGCCTCAGCCATTATTCTCATAGCGTTCTTTGATCTGTTTGTTTAACCCTGGACTTCAATGAAAATACAACCCAGTTTTGGAGAACCTTCCCAAACATGGCTGATTTATTTCAAATGTGCAGTTGTAAGTAATACATTTGCTAAACACTTTCTACTAAGCTCATTTGAACAAGAAAACATGAGTTTGCTGCACATGTTCCCCTAACATTTTCCACAAGGGCTTTGTAAGTTGAATGTCATATTAGCACTTAACATACATGCCATGCTATTTTTCCAGAATGCAGTACCACACTGATCTGATTAATGCTATTAATGCTATTGTCAGCTGTGCTTTAGCTTTATAAATAAGCACTCTGTATACTAAGACCATGAAACATATTATTATAATTGGGAATTGTGTGTCAAAAATATAATCTCAAAATGACTGAAACATCATTTATACAACCGACTAGTAATATGATTTGATGGTTTATCACTTTTGACCAATAGGTGGTGCTGTTATCAAATTGATGTGATGTGGTCAGTGTGAGGTCACAATGGCACATACAAAGTTTGGTGCCAATATGTCAAGGCTTTGCAGAGAATACAGCCTCAGACGCAGTTTGGCATCATTCCAGCAAATTCATTCATGCGTTAAACAGAAACCATTTCATCTATCTACGCGAAATCCATACATTTTTGCCAGCATGGTCTGAAGATGATATTACTTGAATTTGGTGAAAATCAAAGCAGTGGTCTAGGAGGAGTTCGAAAAAGTAGGTTTTCAGAGAAAATCAAAATGGAGGGCAGGAAGTTTGGCCGATTATGGGATAATTGGTATCAATGTTCTCGGCATGATCCAAGGAATTTATCAAGATCAGTCTCATGATAATAGGCAAAACTAATCAAAAGCTATTAGCATTTTTTGAAATTCCAATTTTTGACCACAATGTGGCTTTTTGATTACCTTCAGGGCATGGTGCTGAAAACATAAGTTTCTTGACGATACACCAATGCTGTTGTAAAACATAGCATTTTTTGTCAAAATTCAAAATGGCCAACGCTCAAAATGGCCAACATGGGAAAATTGGGTATTGTTCTATATCGAACTGAATCTTGTGATTTTTGGCCAAACCGTTCAGAATTTATAAGCAAAATATAGCCATTTTTCATATATACTGACCACTAGGTGGCACTGTGCTGAAACTGTGCAGGTAACCTCAGATCATGGTTGTCATAATACACACCAAGTTTGGTCTGAATACGCTAAAGTGTCACATCCACTTTGGTGAGCTCTTTGACAAATTGTTCAATTTTCATGAACTTTTGTTTCTAGCCCTTACGGTTCAAAAGTTATTAGCGCAAACGTGAGTGCAAATTTGGACAAGTGGTGGCACTAGAGGGTTTGATTTAGAGACTCCAAATTGGGTGTGGTTAATGTTGGGGCTGTCCTCTATCAGTGTGCCAAATGTCATAATTTTTTACCATACGGTTCTATGGGCTGCCCTAGATTTCCAGAGCAGAGGAATTAGAAGAAGAACACTAAAGGATACAAAAGATGCCTATGACTCTCTCCTTAAAGATTCATACTGAGCTGTGGGAACAAAATCTGGGCCCGAGCTCTGCATATCCGTGTCATCCTTCTCAAACATTTCCAGCATCTGCAGACCACAACACAATAGAGCTAAAAATATTGCAATAACTAAGGTATTTATTGGTTTTCTTTTTTAAAGACAGCACATGTAGTTGCCATATGTTGCCTCAGCCATTATTCTCATAGCGTTCTTTGATCTGTTTGTTTAACCCTGGACTTCAATGAAAATACAACCCAGTTTTGGAGAACCTTCCCAAACATGGCTGATTTATTTCAAATGTGCAGTTGTAAGTAATACATTTGCTAAACACTTTCTACTAAGCTCATTTGAACAAGAAAACATGAGTTTGCTGCACATGTTCCCCTAACATTTTCCACAAGGGCTTTGTAAGTTGAATGTCATATTAGCACTTAACATACATGCCATGCTATTTTTCCAGAATGCAGTACCACACTGATCTGATTAATGCTATTAATGCTATTGTCAGCTGTGCTTTAGCTTTATAAATAAGCACTCTGTATACTAAGACCATGAAACATATTATTATAATTGGGAATTGTGTGTCAAAAATATAATCTCAAAATGACTGAAACATCATTTATACAACCGACTAGTAATATGATTTGATGGTTTATCACTTTTGACCAATAGGTGGTGCTGTTATCAAATTGATGTGATGTGGTCAGTGTGAGGTCACAATGGCACATACAAAGTTTGGTGCCAATATGTCAAGGCTTTGCAGAGAATACAGCCTCAGACGCAGTTTGGCATCATTCCAGCAAATTCATTCATGCGTTAAACAGAAACCATTTCATCTATCTACGCGAAATCCATACATTTTTGCCAGCATGGTCTGAAGATGATATTACTTGAATTTGGTGAAAATCAAAGCAGTGGTCTAGGAGGAGTTCGAAAAAGTAGGTTTTCAGAGAAAATCAAAATGGAGGGCAGGAAGTTTGGCCGATTATGGGATAATTGGTATCAATGTTCTCGGCATGATCCAAGGAATTTATCAAGATCAGTCTCATGATAATAGGCAAAACTAATCAAAAGCTATTAGCATTTTTTGAAATTCCAATTTTTGACCACAATGTGGCTTTTTGATTACCTTCAGGGCATGGTGCTGAAAACATAAGTTTCTTGACGATACACCAATGCTGTTGTAAAACATAGCATTTTTTGTCAAAATTCAAAATGGCTAACGCTCAAAATGGCCAACATGGGAAAATTGGGTATTGTTCTATATCGAACTGAATCTTGTGATTTTTGGCCAAACCGTTCAGAATTTATAAGCAAAATATAGCCATTTTTCATATATACTGACCACTAGGTGGCACTGTGCTGAAACTGTGCAGGTAACCTCAGATCATGGTTGTCATAATACACACCAAGTTTGGTCTGAATACGCTAAAGTGTCACATCCACTTTGGTGAGCTCTTTGACAAATTGTAAAATTTTCATGAACTTTTGTTTCTAGCCCTTACGGTTCAAAAGTTATTAGCGCAAACGTGAGTGCAAATTTGGACAAGTGGTGGCGCTAGAGGGTTTGATTTAGAGACTCCAAATTGGGTGTGGTTAATGTTGGGGCTGTCCTCTATCAGTGTGCCAAATGTCATAATTTTTTACCATACGGTTCTATGGGCTGCCCTAGATTTCCAGAGCAGAGGAATTAGAAGAAGAACACTAAAGGATACAAAAGATGCCTATGGCCCCTAATAAATAAGAGATTAAATATTTTCTTAAGTTTAATTTTTATTTTATTCTCATAAATGTTTTTTTTTTGACATTATTGTTGTAACAATTAGGCTAAAATAAGTTAAAAATGAAGGGTATATTTTCAATGTAAAAATAACAGTGATGAGATTGACTGTTGACAATGCAAAAAATACAAAAGGAAATACATCTATATCTGAGCTACATATACAGCATCAGGTTGAACTAGTGCACGTGTTGTGTGTTCCCATCTTTAAATCTCTAAAGCAGATGTGGGGCTTTAAGAAGCAGGTCATATGCAGTATGTGGTTAGTGCATATTTATCGTGCCCATCTGAACAACCTTTATGAAGCTGCCGAAAACACATCTAAACACAGACAATGAGGTCAGCATTCTGTATGTGTGTGTGTGTGTGTGTGTGTGCGCATGCCTGTGATTTAGTGCTTTGCTTGCATTCTGCAAATGTGTGTTTAAAGGAGAGAAACTCCACCTGCACTTTGAGAACCAGGTCGGCATTCTGGGAGGTAATTTCCTCTACTTTTCTGCGAAGCTGCTCTACCATGGCAGGATTCTCTTGAGAGGTGCCCTCAGCCGGCGAATCAGCATCCAGACCTTGCGATTGCTTAGATAGTAACTTCTCTGCTCCTGATACGACATAAACAGAAATGTTCCACTTAATTTGCTCCAGGACTTTTTCCAGCTCTTCCACTCACTTTTGTGACAGGAAGTGTTCTTGGCTCACCTGGGAAGTCCAACATGTCATCTGAGTCCTCCGCGTCTTCAGAGTCACAGGTCACACCGCTCACCTGGGCTGCTCTCAACTCCTCCAGCTCGGCCAGCAGTCGGTCACGCTCTGCCTCAACCTCGCTCAGACGCTCTCTCAGAGAGTTTAGCTGCAGAACATTTTGATATTTAGTGATAACTGCTATATGACAAAATCACACAAATTTAAAGGGATAGATCCCCCAAAAATGAAAATTCTGTCATAATTTACTCACCCACAAGTTGTTCCAAACCTGTATTAGTTTCTTTCTTGTGTTAAACACAAAATGAGATATTTCGAATAAAGTTGTTAACCAAACAGTTGATGGTAGCCATTAACTTCCATAGTATATGGAAAAAATTTTTGTATGGAAGTCAATGGCTACAGTCAACTATTTTGGTTACCAAGATTCTTCAAAATATTTTTTGTCTTCAGCAGACAAAAGAAACTCATACAAGTTTTTGTTTTGTGGTTTTTCTGTTATTGAGAGGAAAGCGTGCAGCACATATTTAAACATTCATCATAGGACTTTTTTTGGACTCCTGATTTTGACAATCAGCTTTTTCTGAAAGTAAAGCGCCACTTTTCACTGAAATATTTTTCAAAAAAAACTTTTTTTGTTTCATTTTGTTCCCTTTCAGTGGAAATCGCTAGTAAGTTTATTATAGTTAAAGAAGTGCAGTACCTCCTCCAGGGCAGTGGTGGCGCTGCTCTGCTGCTGCTCCAGAACCTTGATTTTCTGCAGCAGGCGACCTCTCTCCAGCCTGAGCTTACGGATCTCTTCAAAGACTTCCTCATCCTCCACCTGACACACAAACACACATTGTAGAAATAGTCACAACGCAGAAATAGTCACATGTAATACTGCGCAAATTACTTAATGTGTATGTTATTATGATGTACTGTGACTGCTGACTATGGGGTTAGGCTGGCCAAATTAGTTACAATTCGTTATAAGCAAAAAGTTTTTCATATTGGTTCTCACTCACAAGGTTCTCAGATGGGGCAAGTTGGGTCCTGGGGGCAGGAGAAGGCAGGGCGGGGCTCTGTGAGTCAGGTGACTGGGTGGGGACAGGGGGAGGTGGCGTGCTTGAGGTGTCTGAGGAAGGGGGCGGGCCCTACAGAATTATTAAGCATAAGCCATGCATATTTAACTAAAACAATGGATGTCATTCAAAAACCATGTGTATGATACTAGGGCCCTATGAATTCTGTGATGTTGAAAACACGAAAGGAATCATGGAATTCAGTCATAAAAATGGAATTTACAATATAACGTGGAATTTTGCAAATTTCGGATGAATAAATCAAAAGGGCTGCACACTTGATCAAACTGCGATGTGGACTAGTGTCTGTGGTAGTGGTTGAGGAGATTCCCCCCTTCTATGTAAAGCGCTTTGAGTGCCCAGAAAAGTGCTATATAAATGTAAGAAATTATTATTATTATTATTATTAATACAAAGGGAAAAATAATGCTATTTAAATATTAAGTTATATACTGTATGAATTCAAAAGACAAATTTGAATTTGCGATAAAATAAAACTGATTTCATAGGGGCCTGAAAATTTATTTTTTTTGTTAAAATTGATAAACTGTTGTTACATTCAAGTTTCATGATTTTCAATTAATTAGACATGTTTTTTAAATACTAAAATTTAATTAAATCATTAACGCAGATTACAGAACAATTAAAAATTGAAAAAAATTTGGAAAAAATTGAACAGAATTTGGGAAAAAAAATAAAACAGATTTCATAGGGCCCTATGTATGCACTAATTTGTGTGTGAAAACTTCATACGAACATTTGCACAAACAAATCATGATTCATCAAAAGCTTTCAAATTTTCACAAAAGCCCTTATATGGAAATGGTTTGGGGTGTGTTTTATTTAGAAGATTAATTTAGAATATTACAAATTCATTAACATTAGAACGAGATTAAGAACAAATTCCTCTACGTTGCGAATGTGTTATGAATAACTGTACTTCATAATTTTTTAAGACATTCTCAAATGTGCATAAATATGAACAATCCATACAATTATTACTGAATAAGACCCAGTGCCATGCATTTAAAGGAATAGTTCATAAAAATGAAAAACCTGTCATACTTTTATGGTGTTTATTTGTCCTTTTGCAAGCTTGACAACCTCTTCAATATTGAAACAGAGCAGTGTGATCATTTATTAAAACATTTTGTGTTCCACAGAAAAAAAGACCTAGTTTTGGGGCAACATGAGGTTGAGTAAATGATGACAGAATTTTCATTTTTGGGTGGACTATCCCTTTAAGACAATTTTTTTTTTAATGCTTTCCTATTTATAATGTTTCATGGGATTCATGAATCCCATTGTACCTGAGCAGGAGATTTAGGAGGAGGAGGGGCTTTCCTTTTGCGGGGTGTGGTTCCACTAGATGGGGGATTGGGAGGAGGAGGAGCCTGCTGGTGTGGGCGGAGTTTCAGGATGGACACGTTAGAAAGCAAAGCAAATCAGCAGCAGCAGTGTTAGTTAGATTTGTAACATGTGCTTCTGTCTTCAAACTACTGATTCGACTTTTTAAAGGTGAAGTGCATACTTATGTAATGTTAAAAAGAAAGTGTGCCATTTTTTTCCCACGTTTAAACACTTTTTTTCTTTTCCAACATGCAGAGACAACTATATGTAAAGATGTGGTCACATTCGCGGAATTCACACAAAATTTTGCAGGCAAAAGCTCCACTGTTTATTATTAATAATGTAGCGACACATAAAGCACCACTCACACAGAAATCACTCTCAAACCAAGCAGCTTTCTGTTGATCAAAACAACAAATTTTTAGAACCTGTTGTGTGAAAATCATTTGCTCTTTTGCAGAATTCACAATTTCATGGAATTACTATTAAAATCACTATTTTGCCTATGAAAATTTGCAGAAGATGAGTAAATCTGACCACAACCTTAAGGCATACTTATGTAATGTTAAAAAGAAAGTGTGCCATTTTTTTCCCACGTTTAAACACTTTTTTTCTTTTCCAACATGCAGAGACATCTATATGTAAAGATGTGGTCACATTCGCGGAATTCACACAAAATTTTGCAGGCAAAAGCTCCACTGTTTATTATTAATAATGTAGCGACACATAAAGCACCACTCACACAGAAATCACTCTCAAACCAAGCAGCTTTCTGTTGATCAAAACAACAAATTTTTAGAACCTGTTGTGTGAAAATTATTTGCTCTTTTGCAGAATTCACAATTTCATGGAATTACTATTAAAATCACTATTTTGCCTATGAAAATTTGCAGAAGATGAGTAAATCTGACCACAACCTTAAAAATCCATAATTATGTCCCCACTGGATGCAACAAATGCCTCGTTTATAATGGGATTTAATGTTTTTGTCTCATCGCACCGGGACACGGGATCACAGTATGGTAAGGGGCGTAACATTTCCATCACACGCTTGAGGTATTCGGCCAATCACAACGGACTGGATAGCTGGCCAATCAGAGCACACCTCGCTTTTCAGACCGATGAGCTTTGTAAAAACCAACCCGTTTCAGAAAGGCGGGGCATAGAGGAGAAACAATAATGTACAGTATGTGAAAAATAATGTGTTTTTGAACCTTAAACCGCATAAATACATTTCATTACACCAAATACACAAAATAATGTTCTTTTTAGCAACATCATATGACCCCTTTAAATCAAGCTGTCTGGATACCGCATTTAAGCGACTCTCAGCTGAGTAATAAAATCGACTATATTTGTGAAACATTGGTATTTAGAGCAGCATAATCCATCCCTGACCATCCTTGAGGATTTTCTGTGGTTTAGTTATTTGTATGCATGTGATAAAGTGTTGGGAGAGGCCGTTTCCTTTGACAATTACCTCCTCACTCGAACCCTCAGTGGCTGGGAATGCATGGGACAGAAATAAGAAACAGACAGCAGTGCGGTGAGACTCACACACACATCACCACTCCAAACACAATCTGCAAGCCACGTTCAAACACATAACTATATATAATCTTCCCGTTCCACCACATGCTCACTGTTGCAATTAAAAAAGAGGCAACATGAAAGCAGACAGGCAGCACATTTATCACTCTGTCAGGTGGTACGACCACAGGGGCCCTTTATTAACACTGGGATCCATTTCCAACTCAGAGCGACATATGTTTCCAATCGGCCTTTGTAACTCGAGTTAGCAAACTTCTCTGTGTTTTCATCCCCTGACCCAACGTAACATCTGCTTTTTAGTCTCTCCTCTCAGATTACCAGCATATCCGAATTAAAAATGGGGGCCAAACATCAGAGAACCACTAGGCACCAGATGGTCCCTCTCTCTCGAAGGAATTAAAGGTGAGGACGAGATGTGTGTGTGGTTACCTGTGGAAACGCCTACGCTCTGCAGAAGCTGGGTAATGTTGTGGTTGCCGGCGGTGATGCTGTAGTGGGCGGAGTTGTGCCCCAGGGCATCGGTAAGGTGTGGGTTAGCTCCGCCTTTCAATAACACCTCTACATTCTCCATGCTGTCACTCTCACAGGCCAACATCAGTGCTGATCTGCCTCGAAACCCAAATGTCCAATATATGAAATCCCCAAAGTATATGTTATGTATTGTTTCTGTTGAAAATAACATGATCATTTCTAAGTTTAAACTGAAGGACTAGAAACAAAAACAAAACAAAAAAACATTTTAATTATATATGTATAATTAAAAAAATTATACTATATAAAATATTAAAAAAATTATATTATATATCAGGGTAATTGTAGTTAAGTAAAACTAAAACCGTAAAAACTACTTTTGTTACTTGAAATAAAATAAATTTGAACTGAAATAACAAATAAAAGATCGAAAAATATAGAAAACTTATTTTATTTCAGCTAGTTGCTGAGGCAACATTTCTCATTTTTATTTAGTTTAAGTTGATGTACTAAAAAAACTAATAAAAAAAATTAATAAATACAAAAAAAAACTAATGAAAATACAAAATTTTTTACAAAACTTTAAAATCAGAATAGAATATATACAAATAACAAAAAATTCAAAAATGTTAATAAAAGCTGTATCTCAATATTAAAATGACAGACACACACACACACACACACACACACACACACACACACATATATATATATATATATAGTATAGTATTATTAATAATATATAATAATAATTTATATTTTTTGGTATTTTCTTTTTGGTGAAATATGTGTGGGAAGAATTCTGAAGGTACAACAATAAAATTAAAAATACACATCTGCTGGCTTTCCACTATAAAGCAAAAGTAATGCTTTTAATATTTTGGCCTAGCTTTTATTTTTATATTATCATTTATAATTTACTTTTGTAATGTTTATAGGTTTTTTTCCTCCTAAATATTTCTATTTAGATTTAAGTGATTTTTTTGTTTTGTTTTAGTCATGTTCAACTTCAGCTTATTTTATTTCAGTTAGTTGCAAACACATGTTTTTATTTTTTCATCTAATATGTATATCTTATTGCGGCTTTATTTCAACTAATGACAAATATTTTTTAATAGTTTTAGTTCTCAATAACAACACTGATTTAAACCATGCAGTAATTTCCAATTTGTTAAAAATCATAATAATAAAACGAACTAAATTTTAAATGTTTTGTGCACTTATTTTTTATACAAGCTGTTTAAAGCATATCCAACCTGCCCTGGTTGTCCTGTATATTTGGATTGGCTCCTCGTTCCAAAAGGAAGGCACAAAGTTCGACTCTGCTCATCTGGGCACCCAGAATCAATGGAGTTGACCCATCCTACAAGAATACAATAAGTTAAACCTTTTAAAATTACATTTTCAACTCACTGTACTCAACATTTGGCAGTTACTTCTTAGTGTCCCTATGGATACATGCATATTAATAAAAAGTATATCCTGAATGTCACTTCAGATCAAAATCCAAATCTACTGCCAAATGTACAAATATAAATAATTGTTGTGTTCAATTGAACTTACTCCATCTTGAACATCAAGGTTGGCTTTAAAGTCCCACAGAATCTCAGTACAGGACAAGCAGCCACTTACAGCTGCACAAAGACAAAGACAGAATAACATCTGAACCAACAACAGCCTCGTGTTAACGTCCAAATGCAATGTTCAAACGTTTGAATACTGAAAGAGTTTTTATTACCAGCATGGTGTAAGGACGTCCTCCCAAAACTGTCTGTGGCGTCAACAGGCATCCTTTCCTACAGAATGAACATTATCACTATACTACTTCAGCATCAAATCAGCATTGGCTCTTTCTAGGACTCTGGGACTGTAATTCATGACTCCTACCTGAAGAAGCCTCTTTAGACAATCTGACTGTCCATTCTTAGCAGCAAGATGGAGAGCATTAAACCCTACAGAGAGAAATTACTAAATCACTTTGAGACCTATAAGAACTTTTATTAGTAAAACTAGTACACTAAACCTTACCAGTGCCGTCTGTTACATTGACGTCCACCCCATGAGAGAGGATGACCTCCAGACAGTCCAACCGTCCTCGAGACGCACAAAGATGGAACCTGTGAATTCAGCAATTTCTTTCATTGTTCATGTGCTATTTGTTATCAAGTAATTAAATATATTTACAATATTTTTGGCAAGACTATGTCATAAGCTGAAATCAGAGGTCCACTCACGCTGATTTGCCCTCCGAGTCCAGTTTGGACGGGCAGAGACCTTTCTTCACCAGCAGCGTGGCAACTTTTTCTGGATCATTCTGTTCTACAGCCTGCAACAATCTGTCATCTGTCTTACTCCAGTCCTGACTCTAAAAACACAGAGAAACAAATACACAAAACACATTATATTGACACAAACACCTTTCCATCTTTGACCAAAATCTACTGTATAACTTATAAATCGTGACATTCTTCAAATAACATAAAATAATTTTCTTAATCAGTGTTTTTAAAAGTTTTAAAACAAGATAAATTAACTTTTAAATTAACAAGATTAATAAAAAAATTTTATTCAAAAAACAAAACTGTGAATAGCACATTTCTGAAATGGCATGTTGTCTCATTACCACTAGATGTCAGTGTAAGTCTAAGACCAATGTCACATCATCCAAAACAACAAAATATTTACAGATACAGATGTAGCAGGACCAAATTAAGAATTTGGTCCCACTACTAATTATTTTGTAACCACATTCCCTTATTTTAGTCAAATTGTGACGGCGTTGTACAAATTCGTTCCCTTTTTTAGGTACATCGCAACCATGTTTTACTAACTAGTTCCCTCCTTTTAGTTAAATCGTGAACATGTTGTATTAACTTGTACTCTGTTTTATTTCAATCGCAACCACATTGTACAAATTTGTTCCCTTGTTTTAGTTAAATCATGACTGACAAATTCAAGTTGAATTGTGAACACACTGAACAAATTAGTTCCCTCATTTTACTTAAATTGTGACCACATTAAATCGTGACCATGTTGTACAAATTCGTTCCTTTTTTCGTTAAATCGCGATCATGTTTTACTAACTCGTTCATTCCTTTAAGTTAATTTGTGAGCACATTTTTCAAATTCATTTTCTCGTTTTAGTTACATTGCGACCACATTAAATTGCGACCATGTTGTACTAATTTGTTCCCATATTTTAATTAAATTGTACACATTGTACAAATTCATTCCCTCATTTTAGTTAAGCGACCATGTTTTACTAACTCGTTTATTCATTTCAGTTCAACTGTGAGCACATTTACAAATTAATTTTCTTGTTAGTTACCCTGCAACCACAATAAATCGCGACCATGTTGTGCTAATTTGGTCCTTTATTTTAGTTCAGTTGTGACCACATTGTACAAATTCGTTTGCTCATTTTAGTTAAATCACGACCACATTAAATCGTGACCATGTTGTACAAATTCGTTCCCTTGTTTTAGTGAAATCATGACCATTTTTACTAACTTGTTCATGTTTAAGTTAAATTGTGACCACATTTTACAAATTCGTTCCCTCGTTTTAGTTAAATCGTGACCATATTAAATCACAACCATGCTGTACAAATTTGTTCCCTCGTTTTAGTTCAATCGTGACCACATTGAAAAACATTCTCTTGTTTTAGTTAAATCATGACGGTCTTGTACTTATTCATTCCCTTGTTTTAATCTGATTATGGAACATATTATTATAACATAGCCACAATTGACCTAAAACAAACAAATTTATAAGTTGTAGGAACTAATTCTTCATTCATGGCCACAATTTCTGTTTTTTTTTTTTTTTTTCACAAATTTAATAATTTTGCTCATGTTTTCTTGCTACATTCTGCTACATTTATCTTGTTTTAAGGTTTTTATTGATATTTTTACTAAAAAAAACATAACCTCTCCATGTGTTCTGTATACCCTCACAACGAGGGGCTGTACATACCGTAATCACGCCGTAACACATGCAGAAGCTTTTCATTGGGCTAAAGATGACATGAGGATCCATAGAGCTCAGAGGAAGTATGAAACCTCTGCTTCTTTCCACGACCCATCCACGCTATGTGATCTCAACAAGGACAATAAATACTTTCGCAAAAAAGTTCAAATGAACTGAACCTGAACAGGACCACTCCTCATGCTACCAAAGCCCTCATAAAACAGCCAAGGTTATGACTTTGTATCTAATCTATCCGTAAGACGAAGGCCTAAACGCTACTAAATGCGTAACTCTGATTATATATCCGATTGCTGAAATCTATCCTGCAAATGCAGCTTTGTCGTGTGCAACTCTTGCTACGCCGTCCTGTTCTGCTGTCTGCAGAGATATACGACACACACTGCAGTCACTGCCTGGCACACACACACACATACACCTCCCTGTCCCGTTGTCCTTCTTTTTTACTCTCTATCCCAATTCTGTCTCACTTCTCTGCAACCACCATATATTTTACCGTCCACCCTACGTCTCACGTCTCGGTTAATCGTTCTCTGATCCCAAAGCATCAGGGGGTGAGAACTCAGCAAACACAACAGCGAAATACACAGTCAGCAATCAAACTAAATGGAGGTATAAAAATACACACAGTTTGGGTTCTGCAACCCCTCCCAGTGTCTAATAGTGCACAGTAGTGTATCACTTTTATGCTAAGTCAGTCTGATTGAATCACTTCCTGTGATGCCATATAGATGCTGTAGAATAACAATATTGTGGTTTTTAGTCAATGACTGGTCATTTATATGCTAATGCACTCCTAAAAGTTGACAAAACTAGCTTTTAGCAAATATTGGCATGTTGATACAGTTTTCTTGTTATAAATATTGATGACTCATCTTTTTCACATAAAGGCGTAGCAATATTTTTGTATGATGAAATGCTCTTTTGAACTTCACTTTTAGAGGAGAACTGGGCCGGTTGGTTAAAAATGTTTTACTTCTGTGATGTGACATGTTTCGAGTTAAACATTCAGCAATAAAAATCTAAACCTCATGCAAGATTTGACTGGATCATGACAACTTGTCTCCAATTTTTGCAATAAGTAATAAATAAATAAATCAGTGTTACTGCTTATTAACACAAAAAATATTAACATGTTTTTGTCAATGCTAAAATTAAAAATGCTGAAATTAAATAAAATATAAATATAAGATAGAGAACTTTAACTTTAAAGAACTTGAATGAAAATTGTAAAGTGAAAAAATAATAAAAATGACAAAAGCACATAAGATTACAGAAAAATAAAATGAAAACTGAAAATATAAGAATATTTATTTATAAATATGTAATATTTATAAAAATAATGTAACTCAAAAATATTAATAAATAGTATATATATACTAGCCTATACTAAAATTACACTGTCTGTTATCATTACTGTGACTTGCAAAAAAACAATTAATCATTTATATTTATATTTATTTTAAGTATTTATATTTATTATGATTTATATGTATATAAATTAAGTATATTTATTTTAGATGCTTATGTTTGTTATTTATGTATTATTATTACACATATTTTTTATAATTAAGTATGTATTTCTTTTTATATAATACATAAATTGCATTATATTGTAGCTATTGTGAAACACAATTTTTATGTTTATATTTGCTATTTATATGCTATTTACGTGGGACGCAGCTGACACAATAGCATACGCTGTTTACGTTCAGTGGATACTCTCCAAAAAGGCACTATAGGGTGACGCGGAGGAGACGAATTGTTGAATAAAGTCATTATTTTTGTTTTCTTTGCACACAAAAAGTATTCTCGTAGCTTCGTAAAATTACGGTTGAACTCCTGATGTCACATGGATTATTTTACCGATCTCCTTGCTACGTTTCTGGACCTTGATCGTGGTAGTTACATTGCCGTCTATGGGAGGGTCAGAGAACTCTCAGAATTCATCAGTAATATCTTAATTTGTGTTTCGAAGATGAACGGAGGTCTTACGGGTTTGGAACGACATGAGGGTGACTAATTAATGACAGAATTTTCATTTTTTGGGGTGAACTATCCCTTTAAGACAAATAAAACTTTTCTAACACAGATATATCTTTCTTTGACTTTATGACCCACTTTATAACAGCAAGACAGTATGTGGCCATCAAACCCAGACATGAAGTTTGGTTAGAATAATAACAGAGAAAACATCCAGCTCACTTTCTCTCCCCTACAGTGGCTTATCTATCTGTCCATCCCAACACAATCTCAGACAGGGAAAAACACACACGCTTCATGCAGAATACTAGGATGGTGTATTTCGCCTTCACACAGTGGGCTCAGATCCAATAACTTAATGTGTTATGAATATTAGTGAAGATGAAGGTCCATAAAAGCTTCTAACAATGAAGAGCGCAGAATACATCATATACTGAGTCTGCAAGTGTGAGTGAGTGAATGAATGTGTTGTGTTTCAATAATTGAACACTAGTAGAGGTCTCTGGTTACAGGCGCCGTCTGCAGGCTGGCCTGCTCTTCTACTGCTAAAACACGTTTGCTCATACAAAGCAACAAGTCACCAAAATACTCAAGATATCTAACAACCTGGATACTATATATAACAGTTTTGGAGACATAATGGCTCATATTAATAGTCAAACAAACGTAAGTAAGAAGACTAGGCTAGTACACTTAGCACGTGACAGGTTCTTACCTCTGACTTCTTGAACTTTGCTTTTAATGTTTTCATCTTGTTTTAAAGTATGTTCATGAGCTGTAATGAATAAAACACATTTTTATGTACATCAGGAAATTAAAATATATACTGTTTTACAAACACATGCCTCATGAAAGTCTCATAAAATGTGAATAACTACAGAAGTTTCTGTGAGTAATGTGTTCAATAAGTCTGGCATTAAATCGAAAGCAACTTTGCGTCGTTGTTTATTTTGTATAATTATTTATTTTGAATAATCATTCTTGCTCTAGAATTCTCAACACTAGAAGTCATAGAAATACAGAAGACATTAAATGAAACAAGATAAACGCAAAATGACTTACATTCAGTGTTTGGTGGTATTCTTTGGCTTTCCTCAGGTCTGCTGTATGCATGTCCTGTGGTGGGATGCCCTGACGTCATTTGCAGAATACAGGCCTGTTGGACTTGACTGACTGGGCACAAAATCCGACCAATCAGCGGCGAGGGGCGGGCAGTAGAGTCTTGATTGACAGATCCGCGCACCGCATGTTTCAAACTTCAGGTGTCATGTGCGCTTTACCGAGACGCGCCTTGTTTTTCTGATATAAAACAGTGTTAAATAATACAATAAGAGGCTGACTTTAATATAAATTAAGTAAGATACAAAAATGCTAAAAATAAATGTAAGCCAATCAGATAAAATTTTAAAAGCCCAACAGCCAATCAGTGCTTCTGTAGAGCGCGCGTATCACCTGACGTGTCTCAAATATTGCTTTGCATTCACAGGAAATACTCATTTGGAGCAGATATGATTATTTTCTTTAGCTGGTGTGTGTTATGCTATGTTTTAATTCACTTACCCACCCAGTGTATTATCGATTATATAGTTATTTAAAAGTGCATATAAACCACTGTAATGATGTTAGTAGTACTGTAAGATATATTGTTAAAAAACATTAAAATTAGTGAGGAGAGTGAGAGTGTGCACGTGGATATTATTATGTGGCACATATGTAGCTAGTCAGATGTGGCAATGCATATGAGTGATCACTTGGGGGCGATAAATACTAAGCGCATGTTCAGATTGGCTCTTCAAACATTCTTACAGTACAATTCAATAGGACATATAAAATACAATACATAAATGCAATATATATTATATATGTATTATAATGTCAAATATATTACATTATGTATTGTACATATACAATAATGTGAAATAACTTGAATTATACAACAATGTATATAAAATTCAAAACATAAATAACAATAATAAAATAAATAAAACTGTTACAAAGGACCTGAAAATGCAATATCTATCATTTTGAAATGAATTTGAAAATATAAACTGTAATTTAATATACATTTTTAATTTATAGTCTAATATTTAATTGAATATGTTTAAAATATTTAATTATCATATTACTTCTCATTTTTTTAGAAGAAGTAATACATATTGTGTGTGTAAAAGTGACTTTTATTCCAGATTTACTTTTCATAAATCAAAAATTGGGATTAGCCTCAGATTTTAAAAAAGCATTTGCCCTGCTAAAGCATTAATATAAAAAAGAATTATATAGTCTAAGTCTATACATGAATATAGAAACGGTTTGAGAGTGTTTACTGGTACAAAAGTGCACATTTAAACGTAAAATGTTCAAATCATATATGAACCTTTTCCCTATTCCCTTCTGTCTCTCTTTAGAAAAGAGCAATTTCCCTGTCTGAACTGGTGTTTTCTTTGTCCCAGGAGGCCCTTCCTCTCTCTAACATGTCCCCGTTTGAAAGGGGCAATTTAGAAAAGTGAGGGGAAGATGTGTGTCGACACTGGCTGGGGATGGAGGGGGTGGTGGATGGCGTCTGCTATGACCTCATCCTTCCCTCCATGTGGGAGAAAGAGAGAGTGAGATCATGGCTGTCGTAAAAGCAGCTTCTTTATATAGTGAGGTTTTCAAGGTTCACGTTTTAACGGCATGGGGGGCGGGGAATATATATATATATATATATATATATATATATATATATATATATATATGCTGACAATCTCATCTGCTTCTTTGTTTGAATTCAATTAGCATCTGAAGCACAGTAAGACATCTGTATGAGAGGACGGCAACCGCAAGCTAGCAGCACAGATGTGCGTTTGTTGTGTGTTGTAAACGATTAGCCCTGGGCCTCAGTTTTATGACTTTCTACCGCCGTGTTCAGTCTCCAAATGTGTAGCTGAGGAGGATTCTGGTGTGCAAAACATTTACACACCTTCACATTCACATCGTTAACACTTTGGTGAGTCTGTCAGATTCATGTGAGACTGTTAATTAAAGCAGATCACAGGTGTGAAAACTGTGAGGAGCTGTTTTTCCTTCATTAATCAGAATCTCATTTACCAGCTCTATCTATCTATCTATATATCTATCTATCTATTGTATATCCATAGATAGATCTATCGATTGTATATCCATCCATCTATATATCCATCCATCCATCTATCCATCTATCCATCGATTGTATGTCCATCCATCCATCTATCTATCTATCTATCTATCCATCCATCCATCTATTGTATATCCATCTATCCATCCATCCATCCATCCATCTATCTATCTATCTATCTATTGTATATCCATCCATCTATCTATCTATCTATCCATCTATCCATCCATCTATCCATCTATCTATCATCCATCTATCTATCTATCTATTGTATATCCATCTATCCATCCATCTATCCATCATGAGGAGCTGCTTTTCCTTCATTATTCAGAATCTCATTTACCAGCTCTATCTATCTATCTATCTATCTATCTATTGTATATCCATCCATCTATCCATCTATCTATCATCCATCTATCTATCTATTGTATATCCATCCATCTATCTATCTATCTATCCATCTATCTATCATCCATCTATCTATCTATCTATTGTATATCCAT